ACTCATAATATAACATGATTCAAAGCTCAATTTGTAAAATCAATGCCCAAAGGTAAGTCAATTAAACTCAATTTCAAACAAAACTTTATGAACAAAATAAGAACTTTACATGCATGTGTTCAATAAATTCAAGGCTTCAAATACATGCTCAAATGAGCTCATTACCTCAAAAATAAGATGAATTCATAAACTATTCTTAAGATATGGACATGCATGTGAGGAATTTATGAACTACAACCTCAAAACCTCACAATATGTACATGCATGCATGAATTACAACTTAATTCAACAATCTTAACCAATTCTAGACTTTGAATCACTAATGTCACTATGGACCATGATAGACTAAACAATTGTCTAGCAAAGCCCACTAATGGCAAAATGGCAATTAAGTCCAGCTCTTGTAATTTAGCTTTATTAAATCTAATTTAATCATACCAAATCACATTTCAATTAAATATGCCATAAAATCACATAAATCTTAATTAGCACAAAACATCAATCAATTTCAAATTCGGCCGCTGATAAGGCCTTCAATTTACCGTTTAAAGCATAAAACATGAACAGATAATTTAACAGTTAACAGATAGGATTGCATTCAAACTAGCACAATCAATCAATCAATTTAGTAATTCAGTCAATCAGTCAGTTAACATGCTTAATCATGGATTAGCACTAATCAGTGGTGAGGGTTGTCACAACTACTGATATTAGATCAACGTGAGTTTTGTAAGCATGAGATATTCGATGAGTTCTACACATTGAACGGTTTGAATTATCGAAACAGGACCCATGATGGACCCTACGGGCCCAACAACATGCTAGTAGATAAGAGAGAAGCCTCTTCATTTCTTAAAATATCCCTACATTTGAGGTTTTTGTAAAAATTATATAAAGAGGAGAATAAGAGACTTAAACCCATGACCATGGGTTTAAGGGGAACTTACTGATAAGTCTCTTACACAAAATTCGAAATCCATCTAATTCTAAAACAAAATACTTGTACCAATTAGTCCTATATATTTTTAATTGTTACCAAAAAATTTATTTTTTTAGAATTTTTTTTTTAAAGACACTGCTATATCCCACCACTGCCGGACTTCCGTCAAACGGTCATTGGAGACTCATCGAAATGTTCAACATCACTGGAAAGTCATTGAAATATCACTGAAAATTTGCCAGAGTATTGCCGGAATGTTCTGAGCGTCACCAAAAGTTGTCAAAATGTCTAGAATGTTTGCTAGATGTCAAAAATATCATCAAAAACTCATCAGAATGTCTAGAATATTGTCAAAAGATAAATAAATAAATAAACTGAGAAATTAAAGTGAAAAAATATAGCAAAATGTGCTAAATATTAATAAAGTAAAGGAAGAAAAAAAACCTAAGAACAACAAAAAATAACAATGAAAAAAAAACATATGTTATTTTCAATTTTTGTAGGGTTAAAGCAAATAATTTTCAATATTGATCAAACTAAAAAGTAAGCTTTGAAACTGTAAAATGTTACAGTTTCAAGGCATGATTCTATTAAGTATTTATCCTTATCAATCAAATTGAAAAACATGTTATGAAATTACAAAATTTTATAATTCTAAAGAAAGTTATGAAACTGCAAAATTTTATAGTTCTAAATAATGATTTATTTCAGCACAAAAAAAAATGAAACTGTAAAATTTTACAACTTTCACCATCTATAATTAAAATTCAAAAATAACTTGTTCAGAACTTGAAAATTTTCTCAATTATAACAGGAAAATAGAAGTGTGTAGTACAGAAAAAATATTAAATTGAGAGATTGAAGGAAAGAGACAAATATAAAGAGATTGTATTTCGACAACTATTTTTTAGTATAAATCTAGCGGATCTAACTTAGATTCACTCAAATTTGATGTAGATTTAGATCTACATCAAATTTGAGTAGATCTACTCATTTTCTTCATCGGAAACTCATCTCTTTTGTTGTCGGTGAGAAAAAAACAAGGGGTTGGTACTCGGTTGTTGCACATAAATCTCAATCAATAGTGGTCGCTGGTGACTGTAGATTAGAAAGAGAAAGAAAAAAAGGAATACGGGGTCGTGGTCGTGATCATGGTCGTCGTTGATATCCGAAAAAGAAAGATAAAGAGAAGAAGTAAAGTGTAAGAAAAGAATAGAAGATAATTAGGTATAGAACTTTTGGATCAATCTAAAAAAATTTAAAATTAAATAAAATATATACTTTTTGAAAGGAACTTATAAGTAATCTTTATCTTTCCTAGGTTTAATAATAAAGATTCTTACCATCTCATCAATAAATATTATAGAACCATATTTTTTATCATTATTTTTATAATATTAGGTTTAGTAATTATATGCAAACTATAAGCAATATTATTTCATTAATTTTCGCTCAAACTTAGGCCTTGTTTGGGAATAGACTAATTTAGTAACTTTTTAGTTATTTGGTTAAAATATGAACTAAAAAAAATTAGTATGTTTTGGATATTTTTTGACTTTTTACAAAAAGATATGCAAAAAGTAGAGAGATAAAGAGAATCTTTGATTTTTTAGTGTGAGTTGTTGACTTTTTGACTTTTTTAATAACTTTTTGATTGAACCAGCTAATTCCCAAATGAGGCCTCAAGGCCGTTTTGACATTATGGTTAAAAGTCAATTTTTTTTATTTTTTATTTTTTTTAGCAAAAAAAGACATAAAAAACTAAAAAATTAATTTTTAATCAATTTCTCAAATCACCCCTTATTTGTGAATTATTATATATATTTTTATTGAATTTATATTTTTTCATTCTAGAGAACTCAATTAATTGGACGTATTCATGATCCTAGAGGCTGCTCCCCTTCCCCTAAGCAATCCTCACATGGAAGGACAAGTCAGAAATGGGTTTCAGAGAAAAAAATATTTGATGGTATTGAAATATCAACAATATTACGTATCACTAAATTTTTATCATTAAGACCATTATTAATGATGTGATAATTAAAAAAACAAAACAAAACAAAACAAAAACTAAGATACAAAACACACTAGTGCAACCACTAATTAGTGGTCTGCATCATTTTTCATTAAAATATCAACAATACTACAGACCACTAAATTTCTACCACTAACACCACCACTAATGATGTGATAATTAAAAAAAAAACAAAAACAAAAACAAAAATTAAGACACACAACATATATGACAATGGGTGGAGACCACTGCACACACACACCTAGTGCAAACGCGTCCGGATCCTCTAGAGTGATCCTGTGAAGTGATCCTCTAGAGTGATCCAATCATGGAGCGACACGTGTCCCATTTACAGGAAACCAATGGCTGAGATGATGCCTAGACAAAACGACGTCGTTTTGGTACTCCAAAAAAAAAAAAAAAATTCAGAATATGCAGATTTGCAGATCGAGAGAGAAGATAGGAAGAAGGAAAGTGGATTTGAGAGAATCTGGGTTTGAATGAAAATTGGTGTATTTGCAGAGAAAATGGGTTTGAGAGATGAAGAAGAAAATGGAACTTCCTGGGTATTTGCAGAGATTGGTGGCGTGAGCAGGAATCCATCAGAGGCGGATGAGGAAGAAGAAAGTGGAATCCATCAGGAACCCAAAAAAAAAAAAAATTCAGATTTTGCAGATCGAGAGAGAGGATGAGGAAGAAGAAAGGGGATTTGAGAGAAACTGGGTTTGAATGAAAATTTGTGTATTTGCAGAGAAAATGGGTTTGAGAGATGAAGAAGAAAATGGAACTTCCTGGGTTTGAATTTTGAATTTTCTGCAGCTCTGAATCCATCAGAGGCGGTAGGTTCAAGTGGAGGAAGGAATTTTGTGCTGTGCAAGAACCAGAAGCAACCACAGATGACAGAAGGCAGGGTAGAGATGATTGCTGGGAAGGGAAGGGGAAGTGGAAGTTGGAAGGCATGGCTGAATAGGTCCTTTACCTTCAAGATATCATCCCACTTTCTTCTTCCTCATCCTCTCTCGATCTGCAAATCTGCAAATTCTGATTTTTTTTTTTTTTTTTGGGAATCAAACGAAACAGATCGGGGATTAATTTTCAAATACCGTCCCCTCCCCGTCGGGGGTATTTTTCGGGGAAAAACCGCTTAAATCAGGGTCGGGATCGGGGATCCCCGTCGGGCCGGTTTCAAATTGCCATCCCTATGCCACACACCTGGTGCAACCACTGATTAGTACTTCAGTCCTAATTTGCCACCTCACATCTTGTCTCCTAAAATTCAGATTAATCCTACTTGTCAACCAATAACACACAATTAGGCTATGCCCCAGTACCACCCAATAACATCTCCCTTTCTGTGGAGACAGCAGGGTTGTTATTATCCACTAGGGTATTCGTGGCAGCAAAACGTTGGAAGAGACTACGGAAGGTCCCACTTGTTGTAAGCCTGATATTGCCACGTGGCTTCTAAGTCATTTTCGACGTGTACGAAACGTCCAATAACAGAAACAAACTATTGAAAATTAAAAAAAAAAAAATGTACGTCGGTAATCTTTTGGGGGAGTTGATAAAAAAAACCTTTTAGGAAGTTACATGGATGTTGTAGAAGGAGAGAAAAACTGCATACACTTGCAATTTTATATTTTTTTATTTATATTCTATCACAGATACATTTGTATCTTCTACGTGTTAATAATTTTTTTTTCTCTTTTTTCACATGTATCTTTTTCTAATCTTTTCATTTTGTCTTTAGCGTGATTTTAATTTTTTCATTTTCAATTAAACTTAATTTTAAATTTTATGCCTATTTGATTCGATTGTTATACAAAAAAAATAATGACCGAATTGATTGATATTAATTTACTAAGTTAAATAAATTTATAATTTTATTTTAAAAAAATATATCACGTACTATTTATGAGTGTATTTTTTTTTATTATTATTAGGTCAAATTAAAAAATTATAAAATAAAATTACAGGAAGTAAAGTAAGAAAACCAAAATATAATCCAAGTAATTTGTATAAAAAAAAAATATCAGAGAAAAGAGAGATCATCGGCGAGAGAAGATCAAAGTGACATAGACAGAGAAAACTACAATTTTTGTGTATATCTAGATAGATAGTGTGTTTCTGTTTTTGAGGCTGTGGCATGTAAATTGGTGAGCGGTGGTTTCATTCATCCCCTCTCGTCTCTCTCTCACAGACACATACACACATACATACATACATACACAGAGATAAGCGACCTTTCACGTGTCTTGCTCTCTCCTTTTTCGTTTCCACTTCCTTTTTCTCTTTGTTTTCCTCTCAACTTTCTGTTTGTTTCTCTGCATAATTATCTGCAGTTTCGTTCTTTCTGAGCCTCCTTCGACGGTGCTTGTCCTATATATACCTTTCTCTCCACCCCAACAACTCTCATTTCTGGTTATACAAAACTGAGAGTTTTACAAATTTAAGAGAGAGATATAGAAACAGAGTTATGGAAGGAAAGAAGCAAATGGGTTCTTCTTCTTCATCTTCCTCTTTCACTTCTGATCTTTTCGGTTCCAAGGAGTCCTCTGTTTCCTCTTCTTCTGGAATTTTTGGGTCTATCTTTGCTCCATCGTCAAAGGTATTCTTTTTTTTTTTTCTTGAATTGGGTTGATTGTGGTTTGTTTGACTTCTCTTAATTTTCTCAGAGTTGTTTGATTCAATTTCAATTAGTTTTCGTAGTTGAAGACTTGTTTTGCAATCTTGAAGGTGTTTATTAAGTTCATGCTCTCAATTTTTAATGGGTTTTGGTTTAAGTTCATCGAATTTCGTATTCACTATGTCGGTTTATCTTGAAGCTCACTATATTTGTGTGAAGACCCACAAGACTCTGTTTGGATTTTGTATTTGGGTTGGGATTTACGAAGAGAAAAGAAAATTACAGAAAAATTTGAAAGAAATATAAGCAAATGGTAATGTAAAGCTTCACTGACTTTGAGAAATTTCACTCAATAAATAGAAGAATTGAGAAATCAAAAAATAAAATTTGCAATTAGAACTTATAAGCGTTCAATTAAGACAAGTAGTTTATGATGGATGGAATGAGATTTTGATTTTCTGTCTGTAAATTTTTTGGGATATCTTTCTTTTGTTGGTATTTACTTGGTTTAAACAAACTACGAGTTTTGTTATAACCAAATTTATTTATTTATTTATTCGTATCGGTTTAGGTATATGGGAAGGAGTCTGTGCGAGCTGAGACAGTTGTGAAGAAGCAAGACTCTGAAAGTGAGCTTTGGAGCACCAAACCTGGACCTCAAGGTTTGTGAAGATTAGCTTTATGTTCTATTTCAATTATTTATTTATTTGTTTATTTTATTTTGTTAATCTTCATTTCCCTGTAAATACCCTGCTAAATTGATGACGACTGATGTTTGATAGTGCTTCTGCGGAGATCTATTTGGTTTTTGTGGTCTTTTTGAACAAAAAATATTTTCCACTAAACCTAGAGAGGGATTATAAAGAAGTTTTTGTTTTTATGTCGCTATCATTTATAATCATTAGACCATTTAGGCGGTTATAGGCCCACAAAAAAAGAAAAAATTTAAAATTTAATCGTTACAGGTCTCAATTTTTCAAAGTCTTACGTAAATAAGTCATTATTTAAATGTTCGCCGCTGATAACCATCTTGTTGTAATTAGTTCTAGCTTTGATTAGTGTGTATGAGAATCAACTCCCATTAATTTATTTCTCTAACTAAGAAGATTTAGAAGAAACTTTGATTTCTTTAATTGGGAATATTTAAAACAAATTGTTGAAAAACCCTCATTTATGCAGATAGCTCACTTTGAAAAAGGTTTAAAACCTTAACAAAGTTGATCTTGTTTTACATGAGAGATAATGAAATTCCTTTTAACCCATTAGGATTCCCACGTCTCCACTGAATTAGAAACAGTTTGTGCAAATTATTTATTTGCCACCCAATTTAAGTTGCAACCTTGAATACAGACACAGGCTTTATCTGAGATCGGTTTCATATGAATTTTTTTTGAAAATTTGAAGTCTTTTTTTTTTTCCCTTCCTTTTTGAGTTTTCTTCTTGTTGTCTATTCTTGGATGAAATTGGAGCTAATTCTTCTCACTTTATAGACACTATCACTCAGGGCAGTGAGGGCGAGAGCTTTCCAAATAAGGACATGAGTCATTTCTATCAGGAACAAAGAGTGCAGCCTTGTCATCTCAGCTCATCCATATATTATGGTGGTCAAGACATCTATTCTCACCCTCAGAATACCCAAGCCTCCTCTGGGTACTCAACGGTATAAAAAATACTTTAAAATACTCAAAAAGCACAATGAATATTTCAGATATTCAATTCAAGACAAAACATCATAGTTACAATCAAGAGGTTTTATGTATCGGTTTTAAAATGTCCTAATTTAGTTTTTTGACCTGATCAGTTCAATAAAGATGGGGGAGAAGATGATTCGGGCAGTGCTTCAAGAGGAAATTGGTGGCAAGGTAGGATCAAATGTTCATTATGAATGTGCTGGAAGAAAAGCGGTTATACTAATGTCTTTGTTGGTTTGATATTTTGCTTCTGCAGGGTCTCTATATTACTAAGAGCTCACTACTTATGGCATGTGCATTTCCAATAATACACACTTAGGTATTTTTTAAAAGACATATATATGCTCGGAATTGTATTGTGTACCGTTAAGTGTCCTCAAAAGTTTCATACGGATTGCACACTATTCTTACTAGTTTCCTGCGTATTATTCGATTTTCAACAATAATAGGTCATATTTTCGTTCTTCTTCATCGCTGTTTGTTCTCTCCTTGCAGGAAGGCATATAGATAGGATAGCAGTTTATGCTTGCCTTTTTATGTAATGTGAAAGATCGATGGATGCTAGCAGTTTGTTGCAGACAGCCATTTTTTGCTTCCTGCAGCGAAATGTCAAAACCATCTTATGTACTTTCAATTTTATGTACTGTTTTTTCTAACTTTTTTTCCCCTCCGTTATGTAAATGTATTAATGTAAAGAATGTATGTTTTAGTGAACTTCTTCGTATAATCAACCTCTGCTTGTGGTCGTGTAGCTTTGGAAAACATGAAGTCATCTTTTAGTATCTTCATTTTTGTAGTTGATCTCTACTGGTATTAGAGTTGTCAATGAAACTGCTAGTATATATATGAGTTAATTTCTCTCTCTTTTTCATCTAGTTTTAAATGTTATGTTGTGTTGTATTGTGTTATGAATAAAATATCTAGAGATCGTTTTTGTTTAACTTAATATCACTACTTTCCCACCGCCACTAATACAATCATTAGAACATTAGTTTTAATGAGGCAATCAAACATAAAAAATTGTGTTCCTGTGTACAAAATGTTTTTCGTTCCAAAAACATTACAATAAAAACACATTTTAGTGACACTATATCAGTGGACACGTTTTTAAAAAATGTCACAAAATGACAAACATAAAAGACTTTAGTGACATTTCAATAAACAAGTGCTACAACATTACCACAAAAAAAAAAATTTAGTGGCATCATTTCAGTGTATTTATATATATATATATATATATAAATGTATTAATAAATGCTATTACAAATACCTCTAACGGCATTTTTTTTTTTTTAATGTCAATTAACCATACATCTATTCCACTATTTGAGTGTCATTTTATTATTTAAGGCTGCTAGTAGAAATAAATTTTTTTACAATTTTTAAAATTAAAAATAAAATTGAGTGACTTTTATTTATTTACGCTGTGTTTGGTTGAGGGATTTGGGAAGGAAAAGGAAAAATGTGTGTTAAACTAGGTAAAATATAAGGATGTTTTATTCACATTTCACTTACCTTTTCCATTTCCCTTTCCAAATCTCTCCTCAAATTTCCCAATCAAACACAGCATTAAGGTTTCCGGCACAAATAAAATTTAATGGCATTCTAAAATTAAAAATAAAAAATATAAAAAAGGCCATTGAACAAGGCCATTGAACGATGCCATTGGAATCCCAACATTAGAGTTCCACTTGGGAACTAACTCACAAAAAGAAGGGGAAAAATCCTAGGGTTTGCAAGTGCTTATGTTCGGGGAAATCCTAAGGTTTGGATTTCAATGAAATTGATTTCTCTATACTCTCTCTATCTTCCTTTGACATTGGCTTGATCACCACAACCCAAATCAGTAACTCCCACTCTTCTCACAGATGTGACTCACCTTTGCTCTATCAGGTAATTACTCTCTCTCTCTCTCTCTCTCTCTCTCTCTCTGTGCACTTGCATATATTCATAAACCATTGACTCTTTATTCTATTGAAGGAAGTAGGATCACAATTTTTTTTTTAGGGATTGGACTCCAGAAAAGCTCTGATTTGTTCAAATTATTGTTCTTCTATGGTTTAAGCTTTTGAGGGCGCAAGGTAGGCCCTTCACATTCTTTGAGACAGTAAAAGTTGATATAAATGTATATGTTCCATACTTCTTGAGTATTTGTTGGCCTTATCATAGTAGTAATTTTCACATTCACTCATCATCTTCCTTAACTTTAATTTGTGTCTTTGTATTTTGTATAGACCATTTATTTTGTCAATAGTTATACTTACTACTTGTTTCATCAAAATACAATTTTGATTGTTTTTTTCCCCCTAAATATGCAGGGCATACTTGTGAATGTTCCATTGGAGAATTAGCTCTGGCCATGGTGGTAATGTCCTAATATTTTAACAAGTCATCTAGAGTATGATGTTGAATAGTGATAGTGTTAAATGCCCTGTTATCTATAGTACTACAACTTAACTTGCCTACCATCTAGCAACTAATTTGGTTGTTATATATAATACTACTAATACTAATGCCCTACCATTTTGATTACCAGTAGCAACACTACAATCTTACTTGGCGCATCTGTCACCTTCTAATTCTGTGCAGTTTCAATCTATTCTTGATGAAATGAATAGTTGTGTTCTTTAATCAAGAGAAAAGCATAAAACCAAGCAAACTTAAAATATTTATTGCTTATTATATGTGTGTATGTGTGTGTGTGTGTGTGTCTGTAGATATCCATTTATAAATGTTGATGAATAGATATATATAGGTTTTGAGCAACCCAATTTTGAATGTGTATCTATACAGCATCAGAAACATTTGAATATATATGATTACTAGGCTGATTAACAATGGTAGGATATCTATATAGCTACCATTGTTAATAGAAACTTTTTTCTTTTTTTTCATTCTTCAAATATGATTGTTTAATGTTTATACATCACCTTCTTTTTTTTCCCAAAAATGTTCTACTTCCAACAAGTTTGTATTCTTTATTTGGCTACCAAAATTGTTTAATGTTGAGTTCTTTCTATTTGTTTTTAATTTCACTTTTTAGAGAGTTTTTTTTCTTACTTGTTGATTTTTGCTTGTATTGCAGTGCGTCATTATCAAAGCATTTGAAGAGTATATTTATGAGACTCTATTCTAATTTGTGTAGACAATTCTGTTCTAGCAATTACAAGGAACTTATAAGAACTCGATTTGGGCATTGACTTCCACAAATATTATTGAAGTACTATAGCAATACACTCTTTTCATGGATATGAAGATTTCTTTTTTTTTTTGGATATGTAAATATTTATTTGTTTAATTTTTGTTTATGATATTATGATAATGATATTGACTTTGTTAAAGTAGGAACAATGTTTTGATTTTATTTTATTAGTAAAGAATAATGCGTCAATTGTAATTACATTTAATAAATAAAATTTTATTTGTTTATCTTACAAACCAAAATATCAATGGAGTGAATGTTGTAAAACAATTATTTATTTATTTTTGTTTTGTTTTTCAATTTATCTCCATTTATAGCACAAATGAATGAAGCACTGGCACTTTGATCTGTCGCTAAAAGTTGGATCTAGTGGCATTTATAAGAGTTGTTAAAAATATTAATTATGGCATAAGAAGAGCCATTAGAAAAGTATATAGTGACATTTTTTAAATTGTAAGTCTTCTTTAATGGCGCTTGGTAGTGTCGTGAATAGTGTCTACGATGACATTAAAGTGTTGCTAAAATGTTTTAGTCTTCATGGTATAGTGGCACTTACAATGCCACTAGTATTTACCGTGGCAGCGATATAAATGGCACTTGTTGAAAACGTTACAAAACTAAAAGATGTCGCTAAAAGAATAGTTTCGTGACACTTTCAAGTGTCACTGAACTAAGAAAATGTTGTAGTGCTAAGGAAACATTTTTTTCAACAAAACAAAGGAAGCGCAAACTGTTTGAATCTTGTTTTTCCTTGAAAAGGGTGCGACACAAGAAGCTCAATATCTTACAATATGTCCAAACAATTTACTGCAAAACTGTCAACTTTTCTATTCCATTCCTGAGCTTTATCTGTCTCTATGTTGTTGAATTGAAGCTATTTCCTATCCAAAAACACTACAAAATGACGGAAAACAAAACAGTCAATGTCGAGGAGTGTCTGGACCACCATTAAATGTCTGTCAGACTCACTCAGTGGTCGGTTGTTATTAAGATTGTTGATGGGCAACGTTGAAGACTCTGCTGCACCATCCGCGTTTGGTAGTAGAAGAAGTGAAAAGGGTTTGACGTTTTTATGATTTTGTTTCTTAAGTACACAATCTACAATTATATATCTTCGTCAGTTTTCCTCGGTTTGTTTAGATCTTTTTTGCTATTGTTTGCAGTATAGAACACTACTCAAAACGGATACTACCTGGAAAATCTTCCATTATATATATGAAATGGAGAGTATCACAGTTCACCTTAAATACAAAAAAACAAATTGTTATCGTTTAATTGGTTGTTTAACGAGCTATTAATGGGTCGTTTGGTGTAGTTTTTTTCACAAGTCAAGTTTTGATAATATAACATAAAAGCTAAAATCAACTTATCTTCAACTTCCCAATAATTGTTTTCCGAAATTTTTTTTAGTAAATTATTTTTCATATTTTAATTATTTTTTAAAAGACATTTTAAATGCACCTAATCTATATAAAAATAAAGTATATGTGAAGAAATTTGATTAAAGAACAGAAAACACAAAAATGTGCTCTTTTTTCCTTTTGCCTTTAGAGAACTTTTTTTTTGTCAAAATTTGACTATAAACCCTTTTTACATTTCTTTCATTGTTAAAAGGATTAAAAAAAAAAATTATACTTTTTAAATCCCCTCATAATTATAAAGTTTTGCATAAAAGACAAAATTTATTATTTAAATATTTTATCAGACTATTATACCCTCAACTAAATCTTCCCACCTTCTCCATCCACTCTCCCCACTTTCTCTGTCTCTCTCCTCACCCTCTAAATACAGCTTCTCTTCATAGCCATGCCAGAGGCCACCCATCGATCTCTCCCTCTTGTCGCCACCGTCCGTTGGTCTCACTCCTTCCATCGCCGCCACCTATCGATCTCTCTCCATCCATTGCTGCGGTGCTACTCCTCTTAGCTCCTCTGCCACACCACCACCACCGCCGTCACCATCTTCAAACACCGTGGTTGTTCTCTCTCTCTCTCTTTCTTTTTCTCTTCTTCATCTCTTTTCCTGTTGTCGTTCGCAGCTACGAGGACATTAATGGCGTCATTGTGAGCTTTAATCAACTGCAAACATTGACGATCATTGAAGGGTTAGGGTTTCGAACACCCTCACAAAGCGATAAGAGATATAGAGATAAGAAAAGTCAATTGTAGCTCCTTATCCGCCTCTTTCTTAGATCTCTCTATTTTCTATTTTATCTTTTCTCACCTCTCTTTCAAAGGCCAAAAAGCAATTTGAGTTGTAGATATCGCCGAGTTGTATCCAATTGGCTTTTTTTTTTAATTATTTATTATTATTTGTTAATAGATCTAAGAGTAAAATTTGACTCTGGTTCATTCATTTAGTATGTATTTTATTTGTTGTAACAGTAAAATTTTACTTTGATTAAAAACATGTTGATTTGCTTAACGGTATAAAATTTTATTTTGAATCATAGTAAACTTGACTCTGATTCAGAGTAAAATTATACTTTTAGAGTAAAATTTTACTTTGAATCATAGTAAACTTTACTCTGATTTAAAGTAAAATTGTACTTTCAGAGTAAAATTTTACTTTGAATCAAAGTAAATTTTACTCTGATTCATTTTACTCTGGTTAAAAATATGTTGATTTGCTTAACAAAATAAAATTTTATTTTGAATCATAGTAAACTTTACTCTGATTTAAAGTAAAATTTTACTCTGAATCAGAGTAAAGTTTACTATGATTCAAAGTAAAATTTTACTCTAAAATACACCGTGAAGATAGCTTAATAGGAGAGCCGATAGATATAAGGGTAATATAGTAAAACAAACAAATTTTAAAATATTAGGGGGTTTTGAAAGTACCTATATAATTCTTATCATTTTGAAAGACAAATTAGACACTAAGAGGTCTATCACCCAATCCCCCATTTTTTATTCTACCTTTTAGATCCGTTAATCTTAGAAGTGTTTTTTTTGTAAATTAACTAAAATATGTATAAAAATAAAACAAATTATCAAAGACAAAAAAAAAATTAAAAAAATAAAACACTAAAAATAAAATGAAAATTTACCCATAAATCCTAGATTATGGAAAGTTGAACCATTTAGTCCTAAGAGTTTTCTTATACACCATTTAGTCCATTTTGTTGGTAATGTTTACAGAGTTAATTTTGAGTATGTGTAAGTTTACATTAATACCCTTTTGTGGGATTTGTTTTTCCTAACTTGGGGATTCAGTGGCGGGGGGAATTGCTAATGTTAACGTGTGTAAGGGTTTGGGTTAACTTTGGGAGAGCAGCGGTGGGTTGTTTGTGTTGTGCTTCATTGTTTTACAATTTTGTTTAATTTTTTTCTTGGCCATCATTTTGCATTGATCTCTAGACCCGTTGGGACTGCAACATGTGAGTTGTGATGTTGAGGGTGTTTTACATTTGTATTATGTCGTTGCACGTGACGTTCAGGGTGTGTTGTGTTGTGGTTTTGATTGATGTGTATTGGTATGTCATGGTCATCCAGATTGGTGTTTTATATGGGTTGAAGTGGCTGTGGGTTTTTTGTTCTCCATTATTTTAATGTTTTCTGTGTGTTCATGTGTGTTGATTAATGGTATTCATAACATTAATATTGCACAGTTGCTGTTAATTGATTGTGAAGTTATTCCTAGTGCGTAACTTAATTATGTATGTTGCTCCTCGTCACATAGAAACCCCAAATTTCTCCTTTCTACAACTTTATCACCGTCCAACCTGAAAATACTCACGCAACACCATAGGAAAATGATGTCCCAATTTGTAATTTCACACACTGTCAATTTACCAACTTTGCCCACTAACGTCCACATTCACATCACGATGTATATGCCCTCTATTGTCAATTTCTCTATAATGGGACCTTTCAAGCTACAAGAAAACATTTAGGACCAAATAGTTCACAAATTCATAAATTAAGATTTATTGGTGCATCACCCAAATAAAAAGTCAAGCAATGTTTTTTATAAAAAAAAACTCAAATTAAACAAAAATATAATTTATTTACCTATTTTTTGTTTCATAATAAACAACAAAAATTATGTTAAAAACACTTTGCCAAAATATTTTCAAATTAATAAATCGATGGTGTTAAATGCATTATTATTCTTAATAAATATATATATATATAGATATAATTTCTCAAAGTTCATAATTACTCCTGTAAAAGAAATTAAAATCGCACTATTATTCTTAATAAATATATAATTTCTCAAAATTCATAATTACTCCTATAAAACAAATTAAAACGCGTTGCCGGGGATCGAACCCGGGTCACCCGCGTGACACCACCATACTACAACGACTTATCCGTTGGAACGCTTTGGATGTGTGTAGTTTTATTTCCTTTTTTTGTTTCCCCCACTTCTTCAAGCTGTTTTTAAGAGTGGGACTTCCTAATGGATGACTTTCTTAAATTTTAGGAAATGAAGAAGACTTTGTAATCAAATTCAAAATGCCAACTCAAAACATCATTGAGGTCTCGTTTGGGTACAGATTTTTTTTAGTAATTTTTTGATTAAAATATGATGTAAAAAAAATTAGCTTGTTTGTGATGACTTTTTGACTTTTTACGAAAAGATATACAAAAAGTAGAGAGAAAAGAAAATCTTTGACTTTTTGGTATAAGTTGTTGGCTTTTTAATTTTTTTAATAACTTTTTGACTTTTTGACTAAAAAAATCACTTGCCAAACGAGGCCTGAATTAGTTCAACTCAAAAAACTTAATTGATTTTGTTTTACGTCGAAACTCAACTTTAAAAAATGCATGGAGTGAAAAGATTGTGAGAAATGTTTGTATGTTTTTACATTTTGTAGTACATACATATGTTTAGAATAACTCGACTTAATCGAGTAATTATGAATCAAAACCGAATAAAATAATTTTTTATTGATTTTTCAAAAGCGTAACTCAATCAACTCATAACCGAGCAAAAGCATACATATTTCTAGAATAACTCAGCAAAAGCATTCATGAATCATGCAAAAACTCAAAATGTAATCTCTCTATCTTAAAATATTGGTCATTTATTTTATTTTTTATTATCCTAAAACATTAGTATCTTTTTCAAGATCTTAGGTTAAAGTAGCCTGGATTTCCTATTCTATCATTCTTTTAAATTTATTAATTATAACAATTGATATTCTCAGGACAAAGTCAAAGGGTAGTTTTGAAAATTTAATACTTTTGAAGTGTAACAATTGTACCATAAAAAACAAAGGTTAAATTCCTTAAAAGAGACTAATATTTTGGGACATAGGGGTGCTGGTAGCAGTTTGCTATGCCACTTTGTGAAAGGTTGTCCCAAGTGTCAAAAAAAAGTGTAATAATTGTACTTTTAAAGTGTAATAATTATGTTATTAAAAAAAGTTAAGTTCCTCAAAAAAGACTAATATTTTGGGACCTGGGCGTGCTGCTAGCAACCTAATGTGCTCCTTTGTGGAAGGTCGTCCCGAGTGTCTTTCGATAATCTGAACCGTTCATTTTATAGGGTTCATCAAGAATATTATCCATGTAAAAAATTAAGTTAATCAGATATTCGTAACCCCATAATTAGGTCTTAATTATTTTTTAAAAATTATGAAATTATTTTAATCGTTAATTTTTATAAAAACAAATGTGCTTTGGTTATAGGGCTGCAGATATCCAACCAACTTGATATTTGGCATGATTAATCTACTCGACGAACTCTACAATATGAACGGTTTAGATTTTTGAAAGAGGCTCGGGATGATACTCTACAAGAGAGCACAACAACCTGTTGTGCCTTTAAGTACAACAAGATCCCCAAATCTAATATTTTGAGATGGATGGAGTATTAAGTTACTTGATTGTTCATTGGCTTATTTTGAGAAATAAGTTAAAAGCTAACTTTTTGGTCTTTTTTGACTTTTTAAAAAATATATACAAAAATAAAATAAAAAAAATAATATGACCCAAAAATATCAAAAGCTAAAAAATTAACTTTTTATCCTATTGGCAAAATATGCCAGAATCAAGTCAACTAAACCAACTCAGAATGAGTAAAATCAAAATTTTAATTAATATATATTTTTTCTTTCAGTTCCGATTCGTAACTCAAAATTCGGAGGCTCGAATTTGGCTCGACACCAAAACGACGTCATTTTGGTGTCTTTTTCTTCTTCTTTTTTCCGTCTCTCTGTCCTGAAGAAGAAGAAGAAATGGAAAGGGGTTGGGTTTCATCAAAAGAAGAAAGAAGAAAGGGGCTGGCAACCATCATCAACATTAACATCATCACCAGTTGGGTTTCATCAAAAGAAGAAAGAAGAAATGCGTTTCAACATGAACAAGCATCATCAACATCAACATCATCACCAGCATCATCATCATCAACAAACAAAAAAAAAAATTTCATTGTCAAACACAGATTTTCATCTTCATCAACATCATCACCAGATTTTGTTTCAACGCAGATTTTCAAAAATTGGGATCATCAACAAAAACGGGCTAACACAGATTTTTTTTTTAACAATCCCGATTCATCCTCAATTTTTTTTTTTAAATCTGCCCAAATGAAGCTTTGTTGGTATCTATTTTTTTTTTAAATCTGCCCAATTTTTTTTTTCCTTCATCCTCAGATTTTTTTTTGTTCATCAACATCATCAGATCTAGCTCGAATTTTTTTTTTGTTCCCTTCATCCTCAAGTTCAAATCAGCAACAACATCACCATCATCTTCAACATCACCATCATCTTCATCAACAAAAAAAAAAAATTACCTTTAATCCTCAAAATTACCTTTAATCCTCAAAAAAATTACCTTTAATCCGGAACCGAACCGAGGAGCTGGGTCTGGTGAAGAATTAAGAAGAAGAAGAAGGAGCTTGGTCTGATGAAAATCTGTGGGGTTTGATTTTCCTTCTCCTCTTCCACTTCCTCTTCTCTCCTCTCTCTCTCTCTCTCTCTCTCTCCCTTCGTCTCATTGGGATCATCAACAAAAACGGGCTAACACAGATTTTTTTTTTAACAATCCCGATTCATCCTCAATTTTTTTTTTTTTTTAAATCTGCCCAAATGAAGCTTTGTTGGTATCTATTTTTTTTTTAAATCTGCCCAATTTTTTTTTTCTTTCATCCTCAGGTTTTTTTTTGTTCATCAACATCATCAGATCTGGCTCGAATTTTTTTTTTGTTCCCTTCATCCTCAGGTTCAAATCAGCAACAACATCACCATCATCTTCAACATCACCATCATCTTCATCAACAAAAAAAAAAATTACCTTTAATCCTCAAAATTACCTTTAATCCTCAAAAAAATTACCTTTAATCCGGAACCGAACCGAGGAGCTGGGTCTGGTGAAAAATTAAGAAGAAGAAGAAGAAGGAGCTTGGTCTGATGAAAATCCGTAGGGTTCGATCTTCCTTCTCCTCTTCCTCTTCCACTTCCTCTTCTCTCCTCTCTCTCTCTCTCTCCCTTCGTCTCTTCTCTCCCTCTGTATTTGAACACAGAGAAAGAAAGAAAAGAAAAAAAAAATAGCCAAAACGATATTCAGGCCAATTTCGAGCCAACAAATTCGAGCTACCATCCATTTTTCTTTTTCCTTTCACAACTTTTATTTAAATGACATTTGTTTCTATTGTTACTTTAGAAATTACTACTTAAATACTATTCGAATGACATTTATTTCTATTGTTACTTCAGAAATTACATACTATTCGAAATTAGTGTAAGTGCACTTATGATCAAAAGAAAGGAAAATTTTCTTTTTGGTCTTTTCTCTCTATAAATTTGAAATCAAACACAACTTTAAAGCTGCAGAATTCACAAGACAATGGGCCTAGGCCATATTATTGCATTAAAGTTTAAATTTAAATCACCAAAGTTGGGAGAGATAAGGTAAAGAAACTCTTTTCATAAGTGTACATAAAATTGGATGTTAAATGCAGTCGCCAAATGGGCATTTGGTCTAGTGGTATGATTCTCGCTTAGGGTGCGAGAGGTCCCGAGTTCAATTCTCGGAATGCCCCTTTTAGTTTTGGTTTTTTATTTTTTTTGAACCAGCATTCAAATGGAGGTAAAACTGAAAAAATAACAAAAGATAAAAAATTTAAAAAAAATCTAATAAATTTTCTTTAAAATATGACAGCAACAACAATTGAGAAGAGTAGAACTGTTGTGTGGAAAGACTTTATTCAAAAGCTCTACTCCGACATGAAGGTCTGAGCGTCCAAATTGAAGATGTCCAACGGCAACATAAGCTTGCTAGACAATATGCTATGACAATTTGACAAACACATTCAAACTAACAAAAGTGCTGTGCAAAAGGATGGACTTCAATCCATTGATAAGTTCAACAATGCTAGTACTAAGTTGCACAAACATTTGCAATCATCAATATACTTCAATCTATCACTTTTTTTATTTTTTTTATTTTTTCTTTTTCTTGCAGTTAACTCATCAGTTCACTTGGGTGAGTTTGCAATGGACAAAACTGGGATGTCTATAGAAAGACAAAGCACTCTCAAGTCATTAGCATCTAAAAGATATCAATACAAGAAGAATTAAATAATCTGATACACTGTGTTCTCAGTTATACATTCTACATCTATGAAACAGATACATGAACTGGCTCAATAGCCCAAATATCAGATAAGCAGTTCAAACCCGTGTAACATAGTTCACTCTTCCCATACTGAATCCTTTATCTGCGGACTGGTGGCTTCTCTAGAACACTCCAAAGCTTCTGCTGCAGTCGGAGCCTCGCGAATTACGCTTGACAATGAATTTGATCTTCCAACTTTACTACTATCCTTCTCTCTTGTATCACTGATTAGACTTGATGATGAATTTGATCTTTCAACTTTACTACTATCCTTCCCTCTTGCATCGATGGTAAGATAATCTGTCAAAACCTTTTTCACACCAAACCCACGATGAGGAACCTTGTTATCAAGGCATAATGATCGCTCACCCTTTGCAGGGCTAACAAGTTGTGCAGGAGAAAAACTAGGCGTTGTAAAAGCTGTTTTATAGGGAGTGCTCGAGATGGGCACAGAGGAGTACGGAATTCCTACACTCTTGTGAGCAATCACACCGACCTTAGAGATGGGCATGTATTGATCCGAATGCTTTGCCAAGTCATCTGCATAAACTAGATCATCTATTCGTGCCACAATATTAAATGCTAGGCTCTCCAGAACTCTCGAGTAGCTCTCTAAAATAGATTTGCCGACATCCTAAAGAGAAGGGTATATTTGTTAAATTGCAACTAAAAGGCACGTAGAAAGAGAAAAGGGGTTAAAAATCCAAACCTTGTTGTACTGGATCTTGCTCATATCCAAGGTTGTCTGAGGGAGACCGGGGAACCGCTGCTTCAAGGAAAGCAAGAGGCTCTCAGCTCTCTCAGCAAGCATATCTCTCTTGTCCACATCTATTACCAGTTCCTTCATCATTTCCCATGATGATTTCGAATTGGATCGGTTTGTGCAATTTAAGGGTTTTGAATTGGTTCTTCGGCGCCATACATACATTGAGGCCTCCACTCGGTTGGCAATTTCAAGTGCTTGATGTTCAGAAGACAAATCAAGGCAGTCAAGTAGACATTCAGGAGAAAATTGTTCCGATGTAATGTATCGATGGATAAGATCCCCAAGACTGGCTCTTCCATGCTGGAATCAAGAACAAGCAAAAATGAATAAACAAAGCAAGGTCTCTCATATTTCAAAATAATGTTTTCATGGTATATACCTTTGGAAGACTCTCAAAGTATGACTCAGGGACTTCCATATCAGCTAACATAATACTGTTTATAGCCATGGCAGCTTTTAGAATTTGATTCGTGCAATCACGTTTGTGTTGCAAATGCTTTCGTGAATTTTCACTAAGGCCGCCAAGAGGGACCCGAGGCACGGGTAGCCACCATTTTTCCTCTTGCCGTGGAAGGGGCCTCCGAAAAGAGGATGACCCATCAGTATCCGGGGCTAGGATTCCTTGATCAACATACCAGAACTCTGTATTGACAAAACTGTCTAATATTTCCTGTGAAAAAGGGAGCTTGAATTCAGAATGACCTCACAAGACCAGGGACAGACAATACAGACATTGAACTAAGAAACAATTTTGGATGTAAAATCTTACAAGAAGCATGTTATCTAATTTCCGCAGAGCGGGAAGATTAACATAAAGATCTGATCTGGGTCGAGATGTCATGATCTGCATCACAAGGCAAAAGTAAAACGGGTGAAGACAAGTTCAACAATTCATCCAAATTGTTCATTGGGGTAAAATTTTTCATCTCGGTTTTGTTTGCAGTTTTTTTTACTGTTCAGGTGTGATTTGGTTTAAATGTACAGCGAAGTTAATCAAATTTGATACTTCATCAAGCATTTAACAATCTTTGCAATCTTTTAAATTTCACAAACTAAAATTGCAAAAGGATTATAGCTTGAATGCTAAATTTTCATCTGGACCCATGATGAATTAAATTTACCTCAAGCTTACTTCCATCAGGGAATGTCTGCCAAGAAGGTATTAACTCGACAATGTGACTGCTAACACAAAGAATCCATTCCATTTCTCTTCGCCACATCGATTTCTTTTCAGGAGCCAGAGGTTCTAATCTCCAAAGTTGCCCAAACAATGTAGCTAAAAATTGGGCATAAAATAGCAGTGACAATCAAAAGATTGGCCAATGCAACAATCACATACGAAACATAAACAAATTCACCTCAAACTAATCAAACAAAACTTCATTCAACAAGCAGATAAGATAGCATACCACAGAGATTAGTAATTGCATTTGAAATAGCCAATGCTGTACAAACCCCATTTCCACAACCAGACATATCTTCTCCCAGCAGCAATTTTGAAAACCTTTCCTTCATCATCTCAATGTCTATTTATAGCCCATTGGAAACAATACCCAAATTATCAGATAGACATATATATATACACACACACACAGAGTACCTATAAATACAGAGAGAGAGAGAGAGAGAGATGATACGATTAGTACCTGATAGTGATGACCCTTGTTTCTCTAGTTTTCTATCATCCAAGTGGGGCTTCTGTCCAGTTTCAGAAACATCAGGACTTGCAGAATGTGGCATATCAGACTTCTGAACAGGCCAAGCCATTAAAGGGGGTGAAGAAGAATCCTCAGAACTACTGTGACTGTGTTCTTCATTCACTGTGGCCTCTGAAACCAAAAAATCAGAACTTGAACTACTCTCTCTACACTCCTCTTCAATCACATCCACAAAACCCTCACTACCAGGCCCATCTTTTTTTTCTTCCAAACCACTCTCCATTTTAGCTCCAACAGAACAAGGAGAACCACAATACACAGAGTTGTTCACCAACATACCATCAAATTGAAGCCTTGTAAAGCAAAACCCATTTGAAACTTTAGCTCTTTGATACAAACTTCGAAGTGATTTTGAGACCCAGAAAGCAAATACTGAAAATGGGTTTGGGTTATTTGAATTTCTTCTGAGTTTCAGCAATGGTAGGCAGAGATTGAGCTGGGGTTGAGGGTTCTGTTGGATTGGTGGCTCTGTTTGATGTGGGTGAGAGAGAACACCATCCATAAGGTCTCAACCATGTCTGGTAGTGAAGAGTAGAGGAACATGTGGGGGGGTTTTGAAGAGGGAATGAATGAATATTTATTGGAAGAGAGTGAAATCAAACACTGAAACACGTGATGTTTGTGAGAGAGAAGCGCCTGATTTAAGCAAAGAAATGAACAGAGAGCGTCGCTGGCAGCTTGTGGTATGCTTGAGTTGAAGAGGCTCTCTCTCTCTCTCTCTCTCTCACTGTTGTGCAGCTTTGAATTGGATTTGCTTAGAGAGCAGTTGTTAATGTTTGAGGGTTACAATTTTTATGATCATAATAGTTTAAAATTATTAAAATTGAGCTATCGTAATTATAAAAATTGTAGTCCTCTAATATTGTTGTTAACATAATTAAAGTGTATTATTATAAAATTAAAAGTTGGGTTCAAAAATTATGATGAGAGGTCGAGGGAGTCGTGTGAGGGACGGATCTGCTAATTATGTCTACCATCTCCCATTCTCGTATTGTTTGCAACTTTTGTCATGATTCGTTTGGTTGTGTTGTAAATGCCTATATTACCCGTCTCACTTTGTTATAATAATAATAAATAATATTAATCGGTAAAAAATCTATTGTTATGTAGCCGTATATTATTTATTTTAAGATTTTATTTTTTTGTGATAAGAACATATATTAAAAATTTATTGGTGTCTGTAGATGTCCCTGAACGCCCCGGAAGGAATGAGGTTCCCCGTTCCGTTCGATATTGAGCTCACTACAGTTCAGGACTCTTAAATTGTCACGATTCTAAATCTGGACCAAATAGTCCAAATCTGGCAAATCATTTTGAGAAAACAGATTTTGAAAGAAGTGCCAAACATGGACTGCTTTGCCAGATGTAGAGTCGCCACCTAAATGTTTTATTTTGGGAAAATTTAGGAAACCTTGACTCGTTGCCTAAGGCCATATGTCCGTCATCATCAAAGTTGCCTCGGCTCGGGAACTTGGGTACGATTGGGGAAGGTCACTTCGTGAGCACCCCCGCTCGCCCGATCATAGACCGGCCTCTACTAACCATGATATCAATTTTTGAAAACATTGTGAGTTCTTATTCCGGTTATTAGCCTAGGTTACTATGTAATGCACACAGCATATAAGTATAGACCGGGTCGCCCAAATTGGAACAAAACAAAACATTTCATGCTTGCCTATTTGAAAGATGATTTGCTACTCGCAAGTAGGCTTAAAATGCAGATTTTGCCACCCGCAGGTGGGCTTTAGAAGAGATGGTTTTGCCACTATCTAGTGGGCTTGAAAACTGCATTGATGAATTTGTTCCAATCCAAATAACCCAACCTTCACCCACAGGCATTCAGGCCGATATATCACAGTAAGCAGTTAGCCTCATGGTAAGCATGTATCATGCAGTCAGTCACTCACGCGCATGCAGGATGCGTAAAACATAAAAAAAAACTTACCAGTACTCCAAGCCAAAACAGGAAGCTAATTAGAAATCCATGTCACTCTAATCTATACAGAAATGCCTTATGCAACACATGCAAAAGTGCAAACTTAGCAGGCTCAGGCTATTTCTAGACATTGACATTATGAAATGCTACAAGCTAACATGTATGTTTCAACTTGAAATGGAAAATACAATGCTATTAGTATGACTGCGCCCGAGCCGGCTGCATACAAAACAGAGTGAATGATATGCAGAACATGCTATGATACTGTATGCTAACGGATTGAAACCATGCCCTAATTCTAACCATCATAACGAGGTAAATAAAAGGAAAAGACGTGGGATTGGAAGAGCATTACAATCACAACACACGCACACTTATTACAACACTTGCCCTCGCGCAAGGGTCCGAATAAATAATATACAGTCCCAAATGAATAATTACAGTCTAAATATGTACAAAAACCCTAATTAATTAGCAAATTAAATTAGGAAAACAATAAATTGGCATGCAAGCCAGGGACTGCCTCAAATCTGCTTCGGATGATGAATGATGCATGCTCCGGTTGCCTTTGTCGGAAAATCCCTTGTGATGCCCCGGTTTGCCTCTGTTTGCAATTGTTCTTGGAATGCGTGCCAAGCTCCAGAAGGCTTCCGATTTCTGATTTGCTGCAACAGAGAGCAACAAAGGGGCATGGCAAAGTATTTTTGCATATGTATCCATGACTACTCTTCAGGGAATGTAGTCCTCGATCCTCGTGCCACCAATCACGCATCTCGATGCATGATGGCCGAGGAGTCGAATTGCATGACTCAATATGGAATGAATGCACATGAAAACACAACAGGGCCTAGACTCCATCATGGATAATCCGGAGTGTCGGTGACCAGGAATTGAGATACGTTCCGTCACTCGGAGTACGAAACGTACCTCGTTTTCCGTGCTCGGGCTAACTCCTATCCCAAGCACAATGCAATATGCATGACATGCATGAATGCAACTAATATACAACCTAGCATGCACAATGCTATGAGATGGCATACACAACGCACTATGTAACAAGGCATACACAATGCTCTAACATACAACATAGCATACACAATGCTATGAAATGAAATGGCATACACAGTGCACGATGGACTTACACCAACATGAGTGGACCTCAGCCACACTCACATCAGTAGCCATTAGATGAAAATGAGACATTCGAAATGCGTGCACACATGCACGCAAACCGAGGACTGATCTTAAGGCATGAATGCCACTCTAACAAGGCATGGCGAGGCACGACATATGGCATACAAACATGCAAGTTTCAGCACTGAAATGTGATGTAAAATGATCCCGAAACATGGAAACATGGCACCTGATGCATGGAATGGCCTCGAAACACAAAACTAGGCATACGCATTGGCCTATAGCTATACAAAACATGCATTATTTGATTATGAAGCATGAAGAAAGATGCAAGACAGTCCCAAAACATGCATATTTTCAGTTTATAACAAGCCTAAAAAATGAACACAAATAGGGCTAATCTATCATGCAAAAATGGCCCTAAAAGAGAGATTAAACACAAAGGGACAGCAGCTGGCCCAAATGGCAAAGATCCCTTCAACAAAGTTAAAAAGGGGCTCAAAAAAGGGCACTTTACAGTTTACATCAAGCCACGAAAATAATCAAAAATAAGACCAAACTATCATGCAAGAAGAGGCCTAAAAGAGGGGTAAAGAGACAAGTGGCAGCTTCTGTTCTCAAACAGAGGAGAGCCCTTCAACAATGTTGAAGAGGGGCTCAAAACAAGATGTTTTACAGTTTATGGCAAGATCCAAAATAGCTCACAAATAGGCCTAAAATATTATGCAAAAATTGGCCTAAAAGAGATATAAAGAAGCAAGTGATAGCAAGAGGCCTCAAACAGAGGAGAGTCCTTCAACAATGTTGAAGAGGGGCTCAAAACAAGATATTTCACAGCTTATGGAAAAGTCCAAAACAACTCAGAAATAGGCCTAAAATACTATGCAAAAATAAGGCCTAAAAGAGAGTTAAAGAGGCAAGTGACAGCTGAAGGTCTCAAACAGAGAAAGACCCTTAATCAAACATGAAAAGGGGCTCAAAATATGACTATTTACAGTTTGGGTCGGAGTCCAAAAATGCAAAGCAAGTACGGCTTAGATACAAAGCAAAGTAAGGCGCAAAAGAGGGAAAATGGGACTTACCCTTGTAGACCAATGGACCAGCAGCTCTTGGACCAAGTTTGGGAGCTCTTGACCTCTGGAAAGCAGCCTCAAGTTGCTGGAATAGAGGATGGAGGCCTTATGCTATGGGTTGATGTAGAAATGGTGTAGGAGCAAGGTGGTTTTGAAGGTTGGAATAGAGAGTGAGAGGGATTTAATGCAAAGGCCTTAAAACAATTTTTGTAACCCCTCAAAATGCAGCTGAGGGGCTGGTTATATAGGCAAAGCAATGGAGGAAAAGGGGAGGAAAATCAAATTCAAGTTTTCTCCCCCCAAAAGACCCCCCCTCGGATACAGGATCTGGGGGGAAAAAGAGGTCACAGCTGGAAGGAACAGGGTGTGGGGGTCATGGCCAGCCAGGTTTTGAGGGTTCAGGTGGCCGGCCGACCACCTCCCATGGCCGGCCGACCAAGGGCCAAAGGGGTCAAGCATCATTACTGGTCGGCCACCTCAAAAAGGTGGTCTCCCATGTGTGCACAACACAACTATGTGGTTGAAACTCAAAAAAAGTGAACCAGGAGAGAGAAAAGACCATTTTTTAGAGGGGGTCAAAAGGGTCAAGCACAATTACTGGTCGGCCACCAAATATTGGTGGCCTCCCAGGTGTGTACAACACAAATATAGGGTTTAGGGTTCAAGAAAGTGGCTCCGGGGTGGTCAACATTGGCTTTTAAGTGAGGAAAACGGGCGTCGGAGAGCGATGAAGAAATAAAGCTGGCTTTTCAGAACAATTGCTGGCCTCCCACTCTCTTACAAGCTTCCTAACTATGAAAATAAGGTCTCCACCAAAAATGAACCAAAACGGATGCAAAATGGAGGTTCGGAGACCGAAACGCGTGGCCTGGGGCCCCGAAAATGGGCTGTTAAGCACCGGAGGTGGCGTTCGACCACGAAGTTGGTCTCTCGGGCCACAGTGTTCCTAATAAGATGTATGCCAAAAATCGGAGCAAAAAGAGGTGGTTAAGCAGTCCCGAACCGAGGCACACGGCCGTCGGCTCCAAAAAACCGAAAACCGGGCTCCAAATGGGAAAAAATGGCCTACGACCACGAAACGTAGCCTACGGCCACTAAGAGATGATCTACGAGACTTCTCTCTCCTTTCGGGAAGAGAAAACAGAGAAAACAGAGCCTGGTTCGCAAACCGAGGCAAGTCACGACAGAGTTCGGAAGTCCGGAGGTAAGGCTTGCAGCCGAGACTCTGAAACTTCTGGACGAGCACAAAATACAATATCACCGAGTGCTCAACTAGTGACGTCTGAGTCTTAAGGTCGGTCAAAAATGGGGTGTCTACAGTGTCAAAAAAGCCATCATAAAAGTCATTGGTCGTGGCTGGTGGCGACAACTGATAGGGTGAGATGAATAAATAAATGACTCGTGTACATATTTTAATATATAATTAGACAGATAAATGACATATGTACAAATAAATAGCATTTGAATGGATAGACATATAGGCTAGTTTTTGAACAGATAGCTATCCTTTTAGATAGATAATGTTCTTTTGATCAAAAAAATTTAAATTAGATCTATTGACGCAATTATTTTAAAAATAAACCTCTGTCCTGGGTGTCCTAATAAAT